ATAATTTTCTCTTTTAAATTTTAATTGTGTTTTGGTGAGAAATTGATTTAGTAATAAATGGCAGTTAATGGTGTGTTGTTATGTCTGGTTCTTTAATCAGTCTTTTAAAATTCCTTTCACGGTATGATTTATGACATTTGCAGAGAATTTTAAGTTACCATTCCTTTTATTATTACTTAAAGTTGGTGATTGTCAAAAAAATTTCGTTTCTTTAATCAGTCTTTTTTTTGTGGTAATCAATCAGTCTTTTAATATTTTTATGGATGTTAATATTGAGCTTTTATAAAAATTAAATGATATTTATTAGGCTTGACGTTTCCAATGCAAAAAGTTGTGTTTCTGTTCATGCAACACAATTCCAAGATTCATAATAATTGTATTTTAATAAAAATCATTTCTGCTTTCAGTTTAAACAAAAATCGAAAAAACTTGAAAACTTTTAACTTCTTCTGATATTGAAATCACGAATAAACAACTGAAAGATGAAGCGTTATATACTGGACAACGATTGAAATTTTATCTTATCTTACATCGTTTAAGTGCAGCCTTTATATTTATATTAATTAAACCTCAACGAAAATACCTAATACATGATTGTTAAGCATCAAAAAGATGTTCCATCCCAACGTTTAATTATAACACAGCCATCGTCCATAAAATTATGCAACTTATTCCAAAGCATCATTTATTCCTTCCAACAAATGGCTTTACAACAACATCAACAAATTCTAATATTTAGATTATAACAAATTCAAACATCATGCACCATAACTGAACACCACACAGATGCAGCATAATATCACACAAATTAAAAATATTCAAGAACAGCTTCAACGATTAATTTCTAAATATAGTTCAACAACAGCAAAAAATAATAATCTCAAATCGTCATCACAGACATTCTTAAATTATCAAGCACGAAGAAAATATATCTACAACTCGCAGAATACAAAAAATATCCCCAGGAAGCCTTAAAAAATCCTTGCAACTTTTGCAGTAGTATTGCAAAGATCGACAAACCCTTTCTTCCATCCTGGCACGTTTGCAGAAGAAGGACCCTCGATGCAGATAAATTTTAAACTCTTCACCCATTGACATTTTATTCCATTGATTACCATTCAATTTTTGTATCGGGTAGCAAAAAAAACGTAGGAAAGCAGTACGCAACATTGAGGGAGTTTACTACGTAAATAACTAATCACAGTAGTATGAAACCTTCAGCCTTGGAAAACGAAAAATAATAATAATATAACATTAGCTACACATATGAACGAAGAAAAAAAAATGTAGACAAGAACCACACAGCATGAAATACAATGAAACCTTCTGCCCTACAAAACGAAAAAAAGAGAATTAATATACAAAAAATGGAAACTAATTTATAGCAACTTGTTTATAAAGTAAACAAAAATAATAATAATATAACATTAGCTAAAAAATGTAGGCAAGAACCACACAACATAAAATTCAACGAAACCTTCCGCCCTACAAAACGAAAATAAGGGAATTAGTACACAAAAAACATAACACGAATTCATAGCAACTTGTTTATAAGGTAAACAAAAATAATAATCATACAACATCCGCTACACATACGAACGAAGGAAAAAAAACGTAGGCAAGAACCACACAGAATGAAATACGTTGAAAACTTCCGCCCTACAAAATGAAAAAAAGATAATTAGTATAAAAAAAAAAAAAAACGATTCGTAAAGATTATTTACGTCTTGTTTATAAGAAGATAGCATTGCAAAGATCAACAAACACTTTCCTCAATCCTGGCACGTTTGCAGAAGGACCTTCCATTAAAATATAAAACGAATCGGAGAAAGCCAAAGAAAACAAAAAATAATACCAACACAACAACCCCTACAAACAGAAATGAAGAAAGAAATCGTAGGCAAACTAAAAAAAAAATAAGAAACACAACTTCTCTATTTATACAAAATGAATGCCACCCAAAACTCTCCAAATCTTCTTCCACCATCCATATTTTAAATTCAAAATTTGAAACCATTTCAAAATTCGAATTTTAGATCAGATGAGCAATTCCAATGTAAAAAGCAATTAAAACAGCTGAGTCATTCCATTTCAAAATTTGAAATTTTTAGATCAGATGAGCAATTAAAACAGCTGAGTCATTCCATTTAAAAATTCAAATTTTAGATCAGATGAGTCATTCCAATTAAATGAAAAATCAAAATTTGAATTTCAAAATTCTAATGTAAAAAACAATTAAATCAGCTGACCAATTCCAATGTGATGGGCAGTGGGACATTCAATGCCTTGTCTGCCACAAATGGTCATTTATTTTTCGATTTAAAAAAAATTGATTTTTAAAAGAAATTCTTTTTCCAATTTACCAAAGAAGGAAAGTTCTTATATGCCATGTAACGTGAACACAATTTTCAGAATTAAGCAGGGAGTGACACATCAGCGAAGTTTCCAACATTGAACTCTCCTTTATTATATATATATATATATATATATATATATATATATATATATATATATATATATATATATATATATATATAGACACACACACACGATATGAGGAGCATACTCTTTTTCAATTACCCGAATTTCCTTTTTTTAAATCTTTTAATGATATATGTTACATTTACATTGCATAATATTCTGCATTGAGTATTGGATCTTTATTAATCTTATCTTCAGGAAAAAACAAAATTACATAAGAAGAAAAGAACAGAAACAAGAACAAAAACACTAACATAATGATTTTCTGTTTGAATCTCCTGCATGTTATTTTTCTGTTTGAATACATGGATCCTGCTTTCTTTTGCAGACTGCTCTATTGGGATAGATTCCTTACTAGTGTTGCATATGTAACCTCTCCATGGTTCCATTCATTTCCTATAAGTGCTGAATCAGATTATCTTCCCATTTTATTGGCAGATAAAAAGATATGCATGATCCAGCGTGCCATGTGGTTCATCATGTGCCTCTAAAAGGCTCAACTGAATTCGATAACTCTAAATTCTAATCCCTACCAAAAAAATGCTGCAAGGAAACATGCATAGATAGTTTTTTCTGCTTGCCAACTTCTGTTACAAGTTTCAATTTCTTTCCTTCAGTTACTTTCTTATAAAAAAACAGACAGCTGGGAAATCGAAAAAAAAAAATTACAGAAGCACAAAACAAGTTAAATCACCAAGTGTACAAAACCAACAACTGGTAAAAAAAAAAAAACCAAAATTTATCTTAACTTGGTCCGTTTTGGCATTCTACTACTTAGACTGGATTGTTTCCTTCTTGTCCTATATTTTTTGCTTTGCTGTCAGGCTCATTATCATCCATTGTTTGCATCTCTCTCCGGTTCTTCACGTCTTTCCCTTCTCTTCCTCTTAATCTTACTTCTCCTCATCCTGAGACTCAACAAGTGATTCTCCTCATCCTCTGTAAATAAGCCAAGATGGCCAAGTCTTATCACTGAGGTTTTTACAACTCCATCAAGTATGTTCAAGAGTAACACATATCCAAGAATCAGTATGATGCCAGGCTTTCTAATAAGCCAGCAACTTTTAGAAATTAAGCCAAGATGGGCAAGTCTTACACAAAGTGAAGAATGAAGATTAGTGCAGGATAAAGTCTCAAAACAGCGCTTTTTAATTTGACATTAATGTGCTAATTTTCTCAATCAACCAGGGCCCAATGTCAAGCTTAAAATGGGATCAGTCCTAGGCTAAGGTTTAGTGAAAAAGAAATTAAAAATTCCCTTCACCATCCCCAAACTCCAATCAAACCACAAGATAATACAATTAATGCACCCAACAACAATGAATAAGAACATTGCCAACACAAGCAAACAGAATTCTAGCAATGCAAATAAAAAGAAAAGATAAAATATGATGTTGATGTTATAGCACGAAAAAATTTCCAAAGAAATAGACAAACCAAAGATACATTCTCAATGTTTGTTCATGTATTGTAAGATGCGATTGAGTTATAGGTGTCTATTACCTTGTTTGAATAGTTGCATAAGATATTATGGTTTGGTTTAATTTCTCAAATTGAGAATTAGTGGAGTTTGGTTTAGTCTGAGTTTATACTCAAACCAGCCACCGAGTACCTACATCTGCTGAATATTACAAAATCAGTATCGAGTGGGATACCTTCATTCTGTCTAGGCTAAACACTGAATCGAAAGTTCATCTTTTTTGGTTTTGCTATTAATATTAGGAAGTGGAAAAAATCATAAAGGGCAACCTCAGAACACGAAGATCCATTTCTGGGCATAGATCGATTCTCAGTTAAACCACTTTTTCTTGCAGGAAAATGACTGGAAAGCCAAAAAAAAAAAATGTTTGAAGATAAGGAGAAAGAAAGATAAAGAGAACAAACCGAGAAGAAGTAGCACGGACAGAGAAGCGAAGAAAGCAGCGTGGGTTGGGTGAGAAAGAGAGTGAGCAGTGATTGGCACAAGACTATGAAGGGAGACTTTGTTCGTTTTTCAAAGAAGAAAACGAGTAGAAGGGAGATGTGAAGGATATACCTAATACATCATTTTCTTATTGGTCCTAATCTCACCCCTCTAGTCCTGATTAAGTTATACATCATTTTGATGTATAAAGGGATTCTGCTATATAAATTTATATTATACAATGATCACACCAAACAACTAAAACTGTCATAATGTATAGTATAAACTTATACTATCAGGTCTTATATATCATACCAAACATCCCTAAAGGTATTTTTGTCTATTAGGTAAAACTAATAGCACTTACCTCTAAATAAGTTTTCTACACTCCTCCTTAATACTCTAAACTTTTTATGTACCTTAGGAAAAAGAATTCCTCTTGACCGATGTTGACATTAATTTCCCCATTTTTCTATATGCCTTTCAACCCTACAAGCATCATCAAATCACTAAAAACAAGTCTTTCAGCATTCACACACATTTTATCATGCAGAGAATATCAGTATAAAGATAAAGATGATGCAAAGTTGCATTGACAATTGTGCTCGTACAGAAAACTTAAAATAAAAGGATAAAGATACTGCAAACTGCTAAGATATAACAGTATTTACAAATTGAACTAGACATCAAGAGCTTCATTTTTTATTTTTTTGGGAGAGGGGGGAAGGAGAATGAAATTTCATGTTAATCCGGTAGCTGACCTCTCCCTGGAGCTACATTTCATGCTACTTCTCTCCATCTGGAACTTCATCAGACTTCAGATCATAATCTCCTTTCATCAGATCTAAAGCTTTTGGTTCTGAGATTTCACCATTCACGTAACTTAATAATCTATCATAGGTAGCAGCAGAGAAATGACCTCGTTCCATACACATCCTAAGAAACTCCAGTGCCAACTCCAAATCTCCCTTGCCTTTCAAGTGCTCAATACATGCAGCCAAAGTAAACGGGTAAGGCTTCCATCCTGAACCACCCGTCAAGATTGCTTTCTTCATTGTTTGAACTGCTTTATCCATGTCACTACACTTGGAATAGCCACGTGCCAAACAATCCCATATTCTTCCGTCTAATTTTTTGTCATTTTTCTCAAGCCTCTCAATATATGCTTCAGCCTTTTCCAAAAGACCATTCTTACAATAAGCACTCACAATCACATTTGGAATTCTGAGGTCAAAGCATGTATTTCCAGATTCCCATTCCTCCAGAATCCTCTCAGCTCCTTCAATGTCATCCAGCTTCGCTAATGCGGTTAACATACAGATGTAACTTGAGTTGCGGGAATTATTTAAGTTTTTGCACATATTCCAAATGTGATACACATCATCTTTTTTCCCAATAGCAGCATACAGAGATAGAAGAGATTCATATGCAACCCTCCTCATGTTGCCTTTTATTAATTGCTCTGATTTCTTCAACATTGCCAATGACTTCTCAAATTGGCCAGCTTTAATATAGCCATTTGCTGCAGTAGAGAATGTTAACCAGTCCACATTTACCCGTGGATCAGCTTCCATCTGCGCTAGTAATTTCTCCATCCCATCTATGTCTTCAGTGGTCACATAAGCATTCAGCCGATTATTGAAAGTAACACTGTCATATATGTCCTTCTCTTTCATTTCTTGCATCAGAGCATCCATTTTCTCATATTCACCTACCCGAACATAGAGTTTCAACAAAGTATTATAACTCACTACTAGGTCTGTTGGATGCTTGGAAGCATACTCAATCATTTTCTTCATGATAGCCTCAGCTTTCTCCACATAGTTATGTTGTGCATAGCAATTCAAAAGAGCACCATAGACCTTGAAATCTCTTGAAGTGTCTGATATGCTGCCATAATATTTCTCTGCTTCATTGAGACCGTGGACTTTTGCTATCAAGTCGAGACGTACAGCAATGTCTCCAGTCGTTAAATGAAGGTTTTCCTTGCTCATCCATTCTGATACCTGACAACAAGCCAAACAATGATCCAATAATTATTGATCTTAAAAACTATCATATCAACCGAAATTTCTAGACTAAGCACAACTTGAACACATAGCCAAAACAGAAACAGTGCAGTTATAGTAGAGCAATTTTACACCTTTAATTATTTGCTAAATCACTAGTCTTAATACTTCTTCTTTTTTAATTAAAAAAGATCATACTTACTAATAAAATAGTTTAACAATGATATTGACCATTCAATCAAACAAAAAACAGGGCAACCTGGTACTATAGGGCTCCAACTGTGCACAGGTCTGTGGAAGATCTACGTGTCAAGGCTCACCTTACATAAATGAGGAAAATTATATCGAACTAAAATCTAATATTAAATCATTCATATAACATTAAATGGTCAAAATTAGCTCACTCACCTCTCAGTCTCACACCATATTCACACATTATTTAAAAAATATAAAATAAAATAATCCATAATCAAAATCAAGCACTTAACACATTCATCAAATTCAAATCCATCTCACTTTCAAAAATAAAAATATCAGAAATATAAAAATATTCACAAATGAACTCAGATTGAAACTGGAAACAATTTCTCTATATTGACCGAAACTTTAATTAGAAAAGAGAAAGAGAAGCATTGGACCTGAAGGGCGTGGTTGAAGCGACTATAGGCTCTGAGTTGTTTGACGAAAAACTGGAGTTGGGGATGCTTGATGTCTCTTCCCTCTTCAACCCATTGATCAAGGAGACGATTCATGAGAATGGTGGGTTCACCAGACCTCGAAATTCGAAGGAAGAGGGAATCGCTTGGAGTTGAATAACAACGAAAAAGACGTTGGGTGTTGATGTTGATGTTGATGTTGATGTTGTGAAGGTTCCATTTTGAGCCAATGAGCTTCAACATTTTGTTCGTTGCTGCTCCAAATGAAAAAGCAAAACCCAGCCTAGGGTAGTAGGGTTTAAGGGTTTGCAAACTTCAGAGTTTCAAGAAATGCCTTCTTTTTTCTTCTTCTTTTTCTATTTTCTTTTTCTCAATTACGCAGCACTGCACACTGCAATGACCAAAAGAAAAACAATGAATAATATTTGGTTTAATGTTTATAATATTGTAAGAAAAAAAATTTATCTATCTATATATATAAAAGTATGTGATTTATATTTTTTTTATTCTCTTTTTTCTCATCACATTTTTTATATCATTTTCCAATCTTATCGATGTCCCCAAAGGGACTTTTCTCATCACGTTAACTTATAGGTTTTATAAGAGTTATGTTGTAGGAAAGATGAGTGTGTTATGTTATAAAAATTCGTTTTGCGTGCCACAAAATATTGTGTGTGTAGAAAAAAATTTGTGATCATGTTAAATGATAGATGTAAACCCTTAACTTATATATGATTGTACACACTTTTATAATTTTTATATGTAGATAGAAAATAAATTTATCTCTTGTATCATAAAAAATATTAAACCTTTAGGGGGCGTTTGGTAGAAGAGAAATTTTTATTTATTCAGAAATCTCGATTTTAAAAAATATGATGAAAATATTCATTTTACAATAATATTCGAAAAATTAAAAATTTAAAAAAATTCAGTTTCTCAAAAATTCTACAAAAAGCCACTTACCAAACGCCCCTTAACATTTTATATAAAATTTGTATTCATTTATGCTCTTTATAGTTTATATAAAAAAAGGGGTATCATTTTCTCTCGGATAAGATTGATTTTTGCCGTTGACCCTCAAAATGCATAATTCTATTTTATTTTATTTTAAAAAAATGAGACCCACCATTACCTTCAATCTAAAGCATTTGTCTATTTTATTTTTAAAAAAATAATAATTCCGAAAAGATAGTTATACACACCCTAAAGCAATAAAAGAAAAACACATAATTTACGTTAAGCGCTAAAAAAGTTATTTCATAACTAATTATTTAACAAAAACAGTAAATAGTTTTCATTTTTCAACGAATATATCTCTTTCAAAAAATATTTATCATTTTAAAAAATATAATATATAATTTTAAGTAAAACAATCGTATTTTTGTATATATTTAATTTGTTGACATTCTCTTTCTTTAATCTTTTTTCTGTCATCCTAATTTTACAAAAAAGTAAGAATATAGAACATTATTAAATTTGTATCAAAACATAATTATTTCACTTAACATAACTTAAAATTGTATTTTTAAAATGAGAACCTTTTTTTATATCTTTAACACAGACGTTCAATAAGTTACTTTTATACTATTTTCATTATATTATCAATGAAGTATGTGAAGTAATACTTATTTAAAACTAGCGTTTATTTTTTGTTATTAGTAAAAAAATAACAACGTTTGGTTGAATTTTTAATTTATCTTCATATGTTTGAATGGATAAAAAAAATTGTATTTTTTAATATAGATTAGAAATAAGATATATTAAGATTTTATTTATTTTATATGTATATTTCAGTTTTAAAATAAGAAAAACATAATAAATTTAAAAATAATATTTTTAAAAGTGAACAAAAAAAATTAGATACATAGTGAACAATATATTTTTAATTTAAAAATTAAAATTTCTTCCATATTAAAGGTATCAAAATAGACGTTAGTCGTACAAACTTGACAAAATTTGTTGACTTGACTAATAAAATTGATGAAAAAAAATATTTTTTTTACTAAGATTTTGTTTTTATCTAATTTAAAGCAAGAGAACTCGCACACTAGGCAGATTCATTTGTTTAAAATTATTATAAGGTTTTATTGTTTTTCCTATTATAGATTTTAAAACGATGTTGTTTAAGGATTACGAATTTTTTTTAGGGAAATATTACTCTCCTTTTGCATAAGATTACTTCTCTCCTACTCTCTTACTCCGATTTCCGCACCTCACCTTTTTCTTTTTTTTTTCTTTTTTCTTGTAATGGTGGGACCCACCCATTTTATCTCTACAACATAAGATACCTATCTTATGTTGAAGGAGAATAATAAAACCCTTTTTTTTATAATTTTAATTTATGTTATATTTTTTTCTTCAACTTCAAAAGGATGATATTTTGAGATTATGAGAGATAAAATTATTTCAAAAAACAATAAATCTTTATTATAATTTTTCTAAGTTTATTTAATTTCTATTTTATGACGAGTATTTACTTATTTTAAATCTTGTTTGATTTTAAATATTTTAATCTAAATTAATTTAAGTATTATAATATAAAGTATTTAAATTTAATTTTTGTAGACTATAGTTATATAAAAAATGGGTTCATTTTTTCTGCAATAAATATAGATAAGTTATCTGTACTGAGTCTAAAATAATGCCGTTTTGGAGCGGAAATGAAAGTGTTTTTATAATTTTAATTTATTTCAAGATTATAATAGTCTTTATAATTATAATTTTTTAATATTTCAACACCAAAACAACGTCGTTTTAAGAGTAAATATAAATAACTTATCTGCAGTAACTGCAGAAATATTTTTCTATAAATAATTCAAAAATATAATGTGAGACAACGAATTACTTAATAATCAGGAGCTCGTGTAGGGCTGGGTTGGATAGATTACATCAGCCATTAACCAACTCAATACTTGATCCGTTACACTATTAGGCCCGACCCAAAAAGATTATACTAGCTCACACTCAAATTAGGGTTTTCAAGTTTGAATTTATTTATGAGTTTGTTTTTTCTGATGTTACTTTAGATAATTTTATCTAATGTTCATTAAAACGACGTCGTTTTGGGACGAAAATCATGATATTTTTGTAATTTTAATTTATTTCAGGGTTATAACAGTCTTTATCACTTTAATTTTTTAATTTTTCAACTCTAAAATGACGTCGTTTCGATGAACATTAGATAAAGTTATCTAAAGTAACATCGGAAACTTTTTTCCCTTTATTTATTTATTTATTTTGGGGGCTTTGAATTTTTCGAGGAGGGTCATTGAGAAATCTTAGATCTATTCAAACATTTGTCTTCTAAAGATTTTTATAGCTAAATTAGTCCCTTATCATATTGTTTTCGAACAAAAATTGCATTGAATTAATCCATAACAAGTTTAAAATAACCATCAAATTCATCTTTTTATATCACCATTAAAAAAGGGACAAATTTAAACACTATTTTGAATCTTTCAAACACAACATTAATGAAATTTTTTTAAAAAAATGAAATTACATTTTTTTAAGGAATAGTTCGTTAAGAAAATAAAACAATTTTAAAAACTAATTCGTGACTTTAAAAATTGAAACAAAAAATTTTAAAAATGAAATTAAAGGTTTATTCTAAAATATTTGCACTTATATCTTTTTACGTCAAACTAAAAACTGGATTTAAAAAAAAAAAATTAAGCCACGTGTTAGGTAAATTCAATCTTTTTTAAGTGAGTTTTGAAAGAGTTTAAAAATTTGGAAGTTGAGTTGAGTAATGAACTTTGTCATTTTGTACTCGGGTCCTTTCACGGGATATGATTTTGTGTCTATTTTTTTCATATCTATTCTATATATTTATCTCCACCACCATCATAATCTCAAGGAAGAGAGAAATGATGAATGTTAGTTGATATTTTAATCTAATGGTGCTAAAGAAAAATAGATAGAGTAGACATGAATAAGAATAGGTATAATCTTGGGGGTTTTTTATCCTTTTACTCCTCATTAATTAATTAATAATCATTTTGTCCTTTACTCAGAACTATCTACTAATCTGCCCTTCTTTAATCGATTAACTTGAATGTTTAATCGATTAAAGGGTAAAAATAGGCAAAAATGATTGAGTCGCGATTAAATCGATTAAATCACCCTATGCTTGAAGTTTGTATTGGTAACTTTCATAAATATTCTCAATTTGTGTTTTCCTCTCTCTCTCTCTCTCTCTCTCATATTACTAAAGGTTGTGATGCTTTACATGACAGGTGATGGTAATTCACTAAATGGCATGAAAGATGAATTGGCCATGGCATCTGTTGCTACAACTGATACACAGTCAAGTGGGAATGCTCCTACAAAGAATTTGGGATTTGATCTAGTTGGGTCAAGGAAAAGAACAGTTGTCCCTTCTTTTTTCCATGAAGAGGATGATGATGATGCACACAAGGACAAAAAAATGAGGCCTTTGGTTCCAATTGGTTATTCAACCGAGGAATTGCAGGCTGTTCAACCTACTACTTCTGGGCCAACTGCCCCAAATTTGGCTGCAGCTGCAGAATTTGCAAAGCGTATATCCGATACCAATTTGAAAGATATTGAAATATTAAAGAGAAAGAAAGAACTGTTGAATCTGAATGAATTGCATTGATTATTGCTTGACTAATTACGATAACACAATGACAGTATTTATACTGATATAGTCACTAACAGAAAGGCTAACTTATGACTAACTAACAGATTGGGCTTTTGGGCTTAGTTGGCCCAATAGGATATATATCCTTTCATCCCCCCACAAGCTGAGAAGGCTTGAATTCTAAGACTCGAAGCTTGAACTTAAAATCCAAATATTTGGTAGATGCAACAGCTTTGGTGAGCCCATCGGCTATTTGTTCAGAAGCTGGTATATGGTGAATGGAAACAGTGTTAGTGTTGACTTTTTCTCGGACAAAATGAAGATTGAGCTCAAAGTGTTTGGTCCTTGAGTGAAAAACTGGATTTGCTGAGAGCATCACAGCTGAGAGATTGTCACAATAAACAGTTGGAGATCGAGGTATGCGAACACTGAGCTCAAAGAGAAGTGATTGGATCCATGTAAGTTCAGCTATGGTTGCAGCTAAGCACCTGTACTCTGCTTCTGTGTTGGATCTGCTTACAACTGGTTGTTTCTTTGAAGACCAGAAGATGAGGTTGTTGCCAAAGAAGATGCAAAAGCCACTAGTGGAGCGACGATCATCGATATCAGAA